ACAGAGCATTTGAGAGAAGAAGAAGGAAGAAGATTGTATTAATGTCTTGATTCAGTGAATCTGTACATACATGCTTATATATACTACTCTTACTATGAATGAATACAAAATATCTCTAACAAACTTTGTAACTAACTATTGCCATGTCATCAGCTAGTAACTAACTCTTGGAATCTTCTAACTAACATAAGCTTTGTTATTTCTGCATTTGCTAACAACTATTTCTTTTCCCTTTTTTGTTTTTTCATTCATGTAACTAGTCTTTTTTCTTCTTTTTCTCTTTATGAAAATACTTTCCGTAAATAGTGACCTTTCATGTTTCTTGGGGTTTTCTTCTTGATAAGTACCATCATACACTTGGCCTATACCTATTAGAATTCATTTGACAGCCTGATATATTGTCATTCACCTGATGTATATATGTAGGCCATAATTCAAAGTTTGACAGCCAATTGATCCATTTGGCTGGCTGTGCTTACAACAACAAAATACACCTTACCATGGGTGTTAGTGTGAGCTTGGATCTACATTGGGATGCACTTGTGCTGCCTAGAATGTGGATGATATTGATGGAGATGTTGTGCCTCCAGAGTGTGATTATTGACTCCTTCAGTATACCCCACACTAGTTAGAGTCATGACTTAAAAGGGTAATTAGACGTTCGTTTTAGTTTAGTAAAATGGTAGCTCATGGCTGAAATGTTATCTTTGTTGATTGTAGTCTCAGGACTAAGTAACTACATAAGCTTGCAAAGTACTGCCTAGAATTGAGTAGCATTTCCAGGAAATGCTTTGAGTGTAGAATTAAGTAGCATTTTTTCTACTGTGACAAGTTTAGACACACCTGGTTGTTAAATTAGAAGGTATCTAAGGAGGAAGCTTTAGAGACATCTCAAATGTTACACTGTTTGTCCAAGTTCGTGAAACACAACTAACAATGATTAATTATGTTTAAGTTTCTAGTTCATAACAAGTTTATACGCGTGATCATCCTAAGAGATGGATATAAGGCCACCCAAGGGTGTGGCCTAGTGGTTAATAAAGTGGTTGAGAGTCATGAAGTCTCTGGTTCAAATTCCAGTAAAGACAAAAACACTAGGTGATTCTTCCCATCTGTCCAAGCCTTGGTAGACAGAGTTACATGGTACCTAATGCTGGTGGGAAGTGACAAGTATTCTGTTGAATTAGTCGAGGTGACAAAAACTCGCCGTACATCACGGTCATAAAAAAGAAGATGTATATAAGGCCTCAAACCCTGAAATGTGCTGCTTTTCTAGAAGAACATGCTATATCCCATATTGATGTAAAAGAGGAGTCACTAGAGTTATAAAAATTTCCATGTTGGTAAACAGTTGTGTAGTAAACTCGTTTCTTTTTCTTTCAAAACTTTCTTGCATTTGACTTATAATCAGTACATGCCTGGGGCTATACTCGTTCAGTATGTAAGCATCATTATGTCATAATGTGTATATACACCCTTAAAGTTGCTCTAAAATGAAAGCTATAAATATTTTTAATTTCTAAATTTATAGTGATGGTCATATCTTCAAAATATAGTTCCTATATATGCAGGAATTAACATGGGAATGAGTATGGTGCAAGGGTGCCTAATATTCTTTGTTGGGAATTCATATTGTGTTTTGAACGTGTTATCTGTTTGATTTATGTGCTATCGTTTGATTAATGCTTGGACTAGCTCATCTCAACGTAAGGACGTGGAACTGTTCATCTAATGTGATATTCATTTGAAGATGATTAGTTATTCATAAATAACATTGATGACAACTCTCTAATTATATGATGCTTAAAATATTAGTAACATGATTGCAATATGCTTGAAATTCAAGATGCTCTCAACCTTGTTATAGTTCAATACTGCTGCTCTGATAGGAATTCTCGATAACTGTTACTGCAACAGATGCCCCTCTATAGTACACTTTTAACTTGAATTATTATAAAGATATCAGTCCTTTGTTTGAACTCAGACTGAAAATCTCTTACACACTGCCATTTCAGCTTGTTAGAAAGACAATTGAAATGACAATAAGTGAGCAATGCAGCAGTTCCAACGTTATAAGTTTTGGTTATGATAAGGTAACAGCAATGCATTTGTCAAGCTGATTTCGTTTGTCTGCATCTTTATATATGCCTTTTCCCCTTTCAACGTAGCAACACTTTTGGTTTCAACTGTTCTCTTTTTCCTATCTTTTAATTTGCTTGATTATTGTTATATAACTTGTTTTTTCCGTATCTGATAGATGAGCCGGTGTAGTGACATAGTAGAGGCTCTAACATCACCATCGTGGAGCCTTCTCCTAACAAGGGTGTGTGAGATAATATTAGCTTTTCTGGTGTACTCTTTTGTTTTCTTATGTGATTGTAGGCAAGTAAACTTTACTAAAATGAGCTTTGTCGACCTGCAGATTGGGGATGTTCTCATGGTTTATTTACTAAAGAACACTTCAATATTTTTGTGGCTCCCTCGAAACAAACATCATCAGGTGGCAGGATTTCCGATCAGTGACTTATGCCTAAAATCTCAAGTGCACATATCTGTCACTACCTATAAGCCTTCACTACTTCATCCTGGTAACTACCAGTTTCAAAAACGTCTTCTTTTGAGGCTTTGAGTTCCGTTAAGTTCAAGTTTCTCTTCGCGGTTAAAATAATTCTTGATCTACTGTTGCAGCATAATTTCTCTAGAAAATTTCATATGAGTACACTAATGATTTGTCTTCTTGTTTTCTCTTATTTTTCCTGAATCCTTTTTTTTTTTTTGTGAATTTATACCACTAGTCAGGGTGTCTAGCGACCTTTTATATTATTAATAAGAGATAAGTATTGAAAACACCTCTAAACTTGACGTGAGTTATTACTCTATTAATAATAATAATAAAAATTTAGTGGTATTTTCAATATTTATCTCTATTAATAATAATAAGAAAATTCTAACAGGCATAAGTACAAGCAAGGGGGCTAGACTTTACCTAACCAATCCAAGTGGGATTATGAACCTCTACTAATAAACAAGCATAAAGAAAATAAAAGTTAAAGAGAAGTAGGTACTCTGTTATCATCTCAAAGTTTATAATATACTCTATGATGATATTACAAATGAGGACGCTTAAGTAATGCAAAAATATTTAAGTCAAGAAGATAGTTGAGTTATTAAACTCAAACTTCATTTTAGTGTTTTACAAATGAATGAACTAAAAAGATAGATTGTCCGTTTAAAGCAATTTGAAGTGTTTTCCTTTTGAATTTAATGGATCTTATTTAAGTTGTTGACACTGTCATATGATTGTACACCTTAACATCTTAACTATGACATAATTGTAGTAAATGTCCATGTATCCTCTTTAATGAACTTAAGCAATCTTGAATGCAATGTCCCTCCATCCAGCATTAAATGTGATTTCTGGAATAATAATGACAGATCTTGTAACTCCTTGTACAGTTATGATGCTTATAAATCAGCCAAAATTATTGTTTTTCCTTGCATAGAAGAAAGAGACTATTGCTCCTTTAGTTTCTGTTACAAAATGTTTAGATCTTAATATTAATAATGTACATAGCTACATTTAGTAGGAAAGCATATTCATAGGAACCCCTCTGAATTTCTTTCCTTAGTTAGCCCCAAAAGTATTGTATTTATGCATTGCTCACATATTGGAATATAATAAGATCTTCCATTCTATTACATAGTATTAGATGCAGGTCTATGCCCATTTGGGCTCCCGGTGCATGCTCCAGTTGGGGCTTGGGTGTGAACGGGGGGTTAGAGTGAGTAAACTCCCATATTGGTTGGGGAATGGACTGATGGAATGCTTATATGGACTTGGGCAATCCTACCTTCATTAGCTAGCTTTTGAGGTTGAGTTAGACCAGATTTCAATCTTTAAATGAAAGCCACTGTCTCTGTGTTGCTTGAATCTTCGTGTAGACCAAGGAAGCCCCTCTGTTTTTCTGTCCCTTGCCTGACGCCAAAACTGAAACAGTACTATCCTTCTCCTTTTGTCGCAAGCCCTGTCTCAAGCCTTTGCCAAAATTTCAAACCCATTTTGATAAGGAAGAGTGATAGGCATAGCAAGAGCTTTAGGTCTAGAAACCTGACTGTTGCCCTTACCTGAATTGTGAACCATCATGAATTCCTCATTACCAGCTTTGTTAGTACAGTTAGAGCTCTCACCCATAGTGATAACTGATAAGAATCAGGTTATCAAAATAAACAAGAAAATAATGCAAAGCAAAACTATAAAGATTAACAGGCATACATTGAAAGATATGTGAAATTCGAGATTAAAATCCCTAAATTTCAAGAAAAGTGCTAAGAAATCTAATTGTTCTTAGTATGCAAAATTAGTGGATTAAAACTAATTATGATACTAATAGAGTCAATTCAAGAAGTTAGATCAAAAGTGGTTTAGACCCCTATTTCGAAGAAATTAGAGACAACAATAAGTATAAGACTAATAACCTTAGATATTAAATTAAGAATTACTCCATATATATATATATATATATATATATATAAATGGAAAACCTATTCCAAATAGAAGGAGATTCAAATACTACTTTTATGGAAATAATTACTAGGAAACTTTAAATTAGGGAACTTTTAAACTAAGAAACTTTTAAATTAGGAAACTTTATACAAGGAAACTTTTAAACTAGGAAGCTTTTAAAATAGGTAACTTCTATGCTTCTATTGGGCTCCATGTGGGCCCTCTTCTTGGCCTTCATGTGGCCCAATCTTTCGGCTCTTGGACTCGTACTTGGACCATGAAATATATGTAGCACTTAGTCTACTTCTTGTTATGATTCTTGGGTCAATTTTGGGCTTTTCTTTCACGATAAACATCTTCTTGATTTCTCATTGTCCGTCAACTTTAGTGCAAGTAGGCTGACATGGATGCTATCACATAGCTTTTTCAATCTGCTGCATATCACCAATTCCATCTGTAGCTTCAACAATCATACATGTTGAAGTTGGGGCTTGCAACTGCCCCTCTTTAATCTAACCAGTGGTAGCAATTGCTACATTATCATGTTCTTGCCCGTTCTTACTAGCTCCACCAGATTCAGGAACTGTAGCTAGTGCTCGATCAGCATTGGATGAAACTTCTGGATCAAAGCTAATGTACCCCATCCCCTTGTTGATGCTACCAGAATTTACTATTTACGTAGCACCTATTACTTACATATTCTTCTTGCCCCTCTTCTCATTTAAAATATCCATCAAATCCACTTGAAACTTGGTGTGCACTTCTCCATAAGCATCTACCTCATCCTTATTTTTAATATTAAATCTGACAATCTGCAAACATTATCAGTGTCCTTGATGTTTACAACTCTTGCAATATGAAGGAAATCGATTATATACAACTTTTTGCCACACTTCCTTAAGATTACATGCAGCTTCCTCTCTAATGTTGATCCGGCGAAGCTGATAATAAATCAACCTCAACCTGACCCTAGCCACACTAGACCTCGTTTGACCATTGATTGCTTATCTGCAGTTAACTGTTTTCCAATCACCTGTTTCTTCATTGCACTGTTGCCACAGACCTTTTGAACATGTTCTTTTCTCCCTTTGGTCTGACTTGAGCCATGCCAGGCTCTTTGAGAGAGGCTTTTGTGTGTTGGAGTTCCTGAAAAGTTGGGAAGTCCATAAAAAAGATCTGGCCTTTGGTTCCTGCTTGTATTTTGTGGTGCTTATGGATAGAGAGGAACAAAAGATGTTTTGATGGTATCCCAACTCCCATTTCCTCTCTTAAGGCTAGTTGTTTGATTA